AGGCTGGTCTCAAACCCCTGGACTCAGGCAATCCTCTGGCCTCCGCCTCCCAAAGTGCTGGGATTATAGGCATGAGACAGTGTGCCCGGCTAGTCCTGACAGTTTTACACGGTGTCATCTTTCACAGACCTTTCTTCCTTGTGATCACACGTGCAACCTGGCTCTTCGTAGCCTGTCCGTGTGCATGCTCCTGGCGTGCTCTGGTCACTGCCTCCCCTGGCGGGCTCCCATTTCCATCTTCCCAGGGGTGCTGGGGTACCAGCAGGCATCTATCAGGATGGGCCCAGGTAGCAAAGCCGTTTCTGTGCACGTCTTGCAAGGTCCTTCTGGTGACCTGGCACATGAACAGACACAGGGCAACAGGCCACGTGCGGCTGGCGCACTCCTTCTCTGACTGCTGCTGGGTTGGGTCAGGGCAGCCGGGCGCTAGGCCAGGTCAGGCTGCACGGGGAGCCCTGCAGCAGCACCTAGACACCATGTCTGGATGGTATGTCTCTGTGGGAGTCAGATGATTGCCTCATGGGGCAGTGGGAGTCACTGCGGGGCCTGAGGTTGTAATGGCCACAGGGCGCCCAGTGCGGGGCAGAAGAGGCCCAGCTGGCAGCCCATCTCCCTGGCTGCGGATGTCCTTTCTGTGCCAGGAGTAAGCATGGCCATGCCTGGACCTGCGCCCGGGTGTTCGGACCCTGGGGCCAGCTGCTGCTCCGTGTGGGCCGTGGTGGGGTCTCTCAGGCCTGCGCATACAATCAATGTGCTGACCCACTTGCTGGGAATGCTGTGAGCTTCCGGCCATCCTGGAGCCGGGCTCCTTAATGATGGGAATGTTTCCTTTGTGTCCTGTGTGATCAACTTCTTGTGTTCGTTTTGCCTTATTGATCAAAGATTACATACAAGGGGAGACCCCAAACCCCCAGAATTTACTTATAAAAAGTTGTGTATTTATTCTTATTCTTATTCATTCTTTTCCTTTTCTTTTCTTTTTTGAGTTGGAGTCTTCCAAGTAGCTGGAACTACAGGCGTGTGCCACCACATCCAGCTTTTGGTTTTTTTTAAAATTTATTGTAGAGGCAAGGTCTCATCAAGTTGCCCAGGCTGGTCTCGAACCCCTGGGCTCAGGCAGTCCTCTTGCTTCTGCTTCCCAAAGTGCTGAAATGACTGGTGTCAGCCACGGCACCCGGCTTATGTATTCTTTTTTTTTCTTTCCCCCTCCCCCTCCCCCCACATCTGTTTATTCTTTATGTTTAAACTTGTCACCTTCAAAGTCCTCTCCACTGGATGCAATATGCTTATCGAGATGTTGTTTCTACTGCTCAAAACAGTTTGGGTGCCTTTCGGTGCTTCTGTCATCTTTTATTTCACCTCTTCCCCATCAGCAAAATGCTTTCCTTTGAAAACTTTTTTCATCCAGGAAAACAGCAAAAAAAGTCACTCAAGAGCTGGGCTCGGTGGCTCAGCCTGTAATCCCGCGTCTTTGGGAGGCAAGAGACATCCCAAGTTGTGGCAAACAGGTGACTGGTTCTTCCACCATGACAACACACCCGCCTATACCACACTGATGTTCAGCAGTTTTTGACCAAAAACGATAGGAGCCCTCTGCCCCACCCTCCCTATTCACCCCATCTTGCCCTGAGTGACTTTTTTTTTTTTTT